TGGACACCCCCCCCCTCTGGCCAGGCATAGCACCGCTCACCGACGTAGCAGTATTCCAAAGGTGCCAAGCCGCGGGAGCCGGGGGGGGAAAGGCGCTCATGTTGCTTGGCGCCTTTGGGATACCGCTAGGTTGGGGAGTGGCATTCTGCCTGGCCAGAGGGGGGAGTTGCCGGGTGGCTGCTCCCTTGCGATCAGGCTCCCAAAGAGCCGGGCACAGCCTCAGGAGTAAAGCAGCCATGAGGTAACCATGTTCACGAGCAGCCACCCGGCAAATCCCCTCTCCAGCCGAGCAGAGTGCCATTCACTGACCTGGGGGGGGTATCACTAAAGAGCCAAGCCATGTGGTGCTCTGCCCACCCCCCCAGCTCCCGCGGCTTGATACATTCGGGATACCCCCTAGGTCAGTGCATGGAGCTCTGCCCGGCTGAAGAGGGGGGTTGCGTGAGCGCATGTTCCGCCCCCAGCTTCACCAAGCCCTTGCGCAACTCTCACAGGGCACCGCTGCTGGCCGCCGCCATCCCCTGCCACCATGCTCTGAGCATAACTTCCAAACTCCAAAACTCGGGGCCGAGTCTTCCAGCATCGGCTGCTCTAGGAGTGCTCTCTATGGTGGGCCGGCTGCCGGACAGAGAGTCTTCCAGCAGCCGGCCCACCATAGAGAGCACTCCTAGAGCGGCCGATGCTGGAAGACTCGGTCCCGAGCTTTGGAGTTTTGAAGTTATGCTCGGAGCGTGGCAGCGGCCAGCAGTGGTGCCCTGGGAGAGCTGCGCAAGGACTTGGTGAGGCTGGGGGCGGAACAGGTGCTCACGCAACCCCCTTCTCCAGCCGGGCAGAGCTCCATCCATTGACCTAGGGGGTATCCCGGATGTGCCAAGCCACAGGAGCTGGGGGGCAGGCAGAGCGCCACGTGGCTTGGCCCTTAGTGATACCCTCTAGGTCAGTGAATGGCGCTCTGCCCGGCTGGAGAGGGGATTTGCCAGGCGGCTGCTCGTGAGCATGGTTACCTCATGGCTGCTTTGCCCCTGAGGCTATGCCTGGCTCTTCGGGAGTCCGCTCGCAAGGGAGCAGCCGCCGGGCAACCCCAAAACAATAAGCCCTCCCTGATAATAAGCCTAAGGCCACATTTCGTGGGGCAAAAGAAAATAAGACCCTGTCCTATTTTCGGGGAAACACAGTAGTGACTAGTGAAGTAGAGAAAGGCTATTAACTATAGTGAAATAGTAGAGGTAGGATAGAGGAATGTTTTACTTTGTAAACTGCTACATGCTCTATTACTGAGCTGTAATGGTATTGTGAAGTGCTTAGTTGTCACACTTTCAGTTTTGATGGAGAAATTGGTTGTTCTTTCTATTTTTTTTCTGTAGGAATTGGAAAAAAATACCATGATGTAGAGTCAGTTTATACATGACAGAGAAGAGGGCTGTCCCCTTAGTCACTTTTTTTTAAAGAATATTAATAATGGGAACAAAATTGGAGAGGACTGAGTCAGAGGTGAACTTGAGCATTTTATTAAGGAATATTCCATATATTCTGCTCCCCTTCCCTATAATTTGAAACTGGGTAAAAGAAACAGAAAATTTAAAACATCAGAAGCTGTGACCTCATATGTGCCTGCAACTTTATTTTCCTTTTTAGGAGAACACCAGCAGCCTCGTTTCCCAGGTCTCACTAGGGGTTTAGTAGCTGTTCTCTTATACTGGGATGGAAAGCGATGCATTGCAAATTCATTGAGAACACTTATCCAGTCTCGACGAGGCAAGACATGGACACTGGAGCTCAGGTCTGTTTTCAGCAAAGAGATTGGAAAAACCTTAGACATTAGCAGCATATTTATTTTGGACTTAGATTTTCAAAGCCTGATTTTTGCAGTGGAAGGGAAAATTGCCTCTATTTCATATAGTATGCATACAGTATTACATAGTTATATAATATATTATGTATTGTTTTGATCTTTTTGTCTTCCTCATAATAGTCTTTATTTTGACATCTCCATTTTGATTCTATAGCATCTAGTGCTGTGAAGTGTTGCCCTGTTAGCTGGCCAGCGTGCATGTGTGTGCTGGCCAGCTGACTTTGGCCTTCTTTTGAGGCCGTTTTTTGCCCTCCGGAGGCTTCCCTGAAGCCTCCAAAGCACAAAAACCCGGCCCTACGGGCAAACTGGAAATTTGGGAACAGACTTCTGGTTTGCTCGTAGAACCGGTTTTCGACCTCCAAAGCCTTCAGGAGCCTCCGGAGTTCGAAAAATGGCCCTATGGACAAACCAGAAGTCACTTCTGGTTTGCTTGTAGAGCTGTTTTTTGCCCTCTGGAGCCCTCAGGGAAGCCTCCTGAAGACCCATGAAGGTTCTGGAGGGTGAAAAACAGACCTACGAGGAACCCAGAAGTTCAGGAATGGTGACTTCCGGGTTCCCCGTAGGTCCGTTTGTCACCCTCTGGAGGCTTTAGGGAAGCTCCTGAGGCCTTCAGAAGGCATGGGGGGTGGCGGCGGGGGCAGCTGTTTTCACCCTCTGGAAAGCCTCTGGAGCCAGGGATGGGCGAAAAAACTGCACCAAAAGTGGTGGTGGTGGTATAGTATTTGTTGCTGATCGTGCGCATACACACGCTGGGGGGGGGGGGGGTTGTGCATAGCATTATGGGTGTGACAGACCAGTGCACAACCCCCCTGTGCTTCCCCCGCTTTTGGCATGGCAGCCAAAAAGGGTTTGCCATCACTGATCTAGGGATACATGCATGAGGCTGAGGAGTTAAAGAAACCTGAGGTAGTACAGCAGTTTACATAATTTTTAAACTATAAGTGAAGGATACCCAGTTTGAATATTTTCCCATGTTTAAATGGTGACTTGCAGGTGACTTGCAAGGTGGCGCAGTGGTTAAATGCAGCACTGCAGGCTACTGCTAGATCAGCAGGTCAGTGGTTCAAATCTCACCGGCTCAGGGTTGACTCAGCCTTCCATCCTTCCGAGGTGGGTAAAATGAGGACCCAGATTGTTGGGGGCAATATGCTGACTCTCTNTGAAATAAATGAACTTTTGCACAATATTCTAATTTTTCGAGTTTCACCTGTATGTAAGTCTTCACAAAAAAGAAGAAAGCATAAAACAGAGCAGGGTAATTATGAAAAATAGTTCCAAAGTGAGAAAAATTAGATTTCTAAAATTAAAAAGACTTGGGAAAATACCTATTTGCAGAACTGCAAAATATGCAGGTTAGAATAATTCTACTGTCCACTTACTTACACCATTTTTAAAAACCAAAAAGCATTTATAATATACTATGATAGTAAAAAAAATTAACATTTATTCAATTAAAGCCTATTTATATGAGAAGCAGCATGGACATCAATAAAAAAGACTACTTAAACTGACAAACATATCATCCGCTTTAAAGCACAGAGGCACATTATGAGATTATAAAGAAACATTTTCTGAAGATGAGTTGCTCTCAAATGGTAGAGCCAAAAGTTGTTGAGATTGAGGAATGCTGTTCTAGATCATTTGCAATGTCCTGAATTAAAAAATCAGGATAGTTAGAGTGCTGAAGCAGGGGAATTTAAGTTCAAGTTGTCCCAAAGGTGCTTTTTCAAAAGGCAAACAGTTTCTTGTTTTTCTTTAAAGATGTTTTGCTTCTCGGCTTCTTTAGCTCCTTTTAAAGAAGAGATTGGACAATCATTTTTCTGAATGGTTATAGGGTTTCCTGCCTGAGTGGGGTGGTGGACTAGAAGACCTTCCAAGATCCCTTCCAACGCCGCTATTCCACTCTATTTGAGAGCTGAAGAAGCTTCTTGGATGAGAAGCAAAACGTCTTCAAAGAAAAACTAAGTCCAGTTGCCGCTTGAAACAGCACCTTTGCGACAACCATGACCTGGATGACTGAGAATCTCCATAGACATTAAGTTCAAGTTCTTGCTCATACGTAGCACGTGGTAATGTGGATGCCGTTGCATACAGGGCGATTTTTCAATCAATCCTATCCCACAGATTCCCCAGAAGATCGAGGAGCTTCAGGCACAAGGAGAAGAGAGAACTACGGTCAATGGCTCCGGCTCCCTCGCTCCTCTTGCTCTCCACTTATCCCCATCGTCGTATCCGATCCCCGGAGCTACAATTTCTCCTGGATCGCTGGTTCTCTTCCACCACAATGGGAGTAGAGCTGGGTAGTTCCACAGGCCACCTTTATGCGAGATACGGCCAACCTCCAAACTATCGACCATCACTTGCACGCCAACATCTTCTGTTAAGGCGGAGCTACTAGCATGCCCCGGAAGCTGTTCCCAGAAAGTAACTATGCACAAGCCACCAGCGAGTTGGTGTAACGGAAAGAAAAGACAGGAAGCATAAGCCATGCAGTCCGAGGAGTCCGCCCCCAGCAGGTGTACTCCAGTAGTTTGGGGAACTGGTTTGGGGAATTAGGAACTCCCTGTCTATACCAGAGGACTTCAAACTTGGCAACTTTAAGACTTGTGGACTTCAACTCCCAGAATTCCAGTTGGCCCATAATTCTTAAAATTGCCAAGCTTGGGGACCCCCGGTCTCTACAGTATTTCTAACGGTTATAAGCCTGGCTTCATGAAGCGGTGATTATATTTTTTCGGTGTGATTGGATAATATCAGCCTGCTTTTGTTTGNTACTATGTATTAACACTACAAGAAATGTACTAAACAAAATGATGAAAATTTGGAGGGTATTTTTCAAAAGTTTTCTAATTGAGGAACATACTTCTTAATGTCCTCTAGTGTTCAAACTGTTATCGCTGATCACTGTTGCTTGCAGCTTATGGGAATTGTAACTTAAAATAAGGATACCACAAGCTTGCCCATCCCTGTTCAACTAATTAACAACTGAGTTTCATAGGTTCTTCAAAAGTCACAATTCTATTATGGCATAAGTTGCCATATATTATAGTCTATTTTATCAAATATATGAATTATCCTGAGATAGAAATATGCATTAATGATTTGATGAGGCATTTACAATCATTTTATTTGAACTTCTAATAATTACCTTATTGGCCAACTTCTTATTTAACTCTTCAGTGATTGCATGATTAAGCTTTCTTTCAAACTGCCATGGAGGAATTCGCACTGTATCTGTCATTTCTACTAACACAAACATAGTGGCCAGCAAAATACCTAGATCTAAAAAAAAAGAAAAGAACCATTAATTAGGAAAAATTATTTATTTGTGAGCTTTGGTGGCACTTTTATCCCTTGTTGGATCAATAAAGTGTTTATATTTTTTCTCACGCTGGTCACAATTCTCAAATCAATACTAGATCAATATAATTAAGGAAAATAGTGCATTTCCATAAGTCCAGTTGTGGTTTCATCAGGAGACCTGCCACCACTGGATTTCTGCTTATTTTAATACAATAGGGAATGTCATCCAGCAGAGCACTTGAAATAAATTACCTCAATGAGTAGTAATTATATTCTGCTAATCATATATAGAACCCAACCTAATTTAGAAATTAGTTATGATATTAAGACTGCCAGCTAATTATTTTTAATAACTGACAAAACTTCCAATACAGGTGAAAAAATTAGATTATCGTGCAAAAGTTCAATCTCCTGGTAGACGGCTGTGTTGACCATGGACTTAATGAAACACAGTGGTCCAAAGTCCTGTTGCTCAGTAGTCCAAAGTCCTCTTTTCTGATGAGAGCAACTTTTGCATCTCATTTGGAAACCAAGGACCCAGAGTATGGAGGAAGAATGGAGAGGCACACACTGCAAGATACTCGAAGTCCAGTGTGAAGTTTCCACGGTCTGTGTTGATTTGGGGAGCCATGTCATCCGCTGGTGTTGGTCTGGAAGTTGGTTCCAAGCTTCAACTATTTT